CCCCAGGAGGAAAGGGTTCCTATGAGAATGGACAGTTGCTGCACTGGAGTAGCGGGTTTTTTTTTGCCAATTTGATCTGAAAAGCTTCCTGGAAATAAGGTGCAAGCTCCAGTAGGCCGGTCATTTGGGCTCTGAGGGTTGCAGTGCTGGAAAATGCAGGCTGTGTATCTTCAAAGAGGCGAAACCCCAAGGCAGAACCCCGCTCTGGTGCGTTTGGAGGACGCCCATGGGAAAGCTCTTGCCGTGCAGGGAAACGCAGCGTTGCAGGCGGTGGGACTCCTGATGCACCAGGCTTCTGCATGGTGGGCAGCACCACCAGGCGCAGCAGCCGTGGTCTGAACCAGCTGCARTCACCCGAGCCTTGCAGTAGAGTTCGGACCGTGGGCTTGAGTTCAGCAAAACCCGAGCAAGAGGTGAGAGTCTGCAAAGAGCTTCTGCTGCCCCAATTCCCCTTGTTTTTGTAGTATTTCTTGCCTTAGAACATCTTCACTGAGATGGAGCTGAGGTGTTTCCATGTCTCGGTCATACTGCCCGTTCCAGGCTTGTCTCTTTTCTGAAGGCGTCCAAGGATTTTATGCAGCAATAGGATTCCTCTTGTTCCATTGCTTGTGTTCGCTGTCTGCTAGGTCCAAGGAACCCGGCACTTTTCTCCTCTTGGGTAAGGAACCACGTGTTGGAGAGGTGCTCCACCGGCTTGGATGCCTTTGCAAGCTGGCAAATAGCCTGGGGAAAATGTGCTTTGGGTTGTTCTGCTATGGGGAGGCAGTGATGATGATGATGATGTGATCTTCCTCTCTGGCCAGGGCTTGTRAACTGGTGGTACCGAGTAGGATGGGTTTGGGGAGCAGAGGTTTTTCATGGGCTTTATTCGGGGTTTTGTTTCCTTGGTTTCACAGAGTGGTGCTTGAAGGGGATTCTGTCTTTTCTGGCTCCCCTTCTTAAATTTCACCCTGTAATTGTAGTGGCCTGGGTGGAATTTTTCACATTACACATTCTGTAAGAAGGCTGCATGGTCGGTGTGGCCTGGGTGGAATTTTTCACATTACACATTCTGTAAGAAGGCTGCCTCTATTGCTCGGTGTGAGATTAAGAAACGTCCTTTCAAAAAACCAGGATCATGAGGAAGCTTTGCAGAAGCTAGGACAGGCTGAGGCCGCAGTGTGGTATGTAGTGTAAAACAGAGGAACCCTTTAATTGCCTCTGTTAAYGATGGATCAACTTGGAGCATCTGGACAGCCAAGTTGGAGAAATGGGAGCCTCAGCCACGTGGCCCTGGTTTAGCTGGCGGCGAGTTCTGCTCACTGAGCTTCCTGGAGAGGATTCCCGAGTTGTCCGTATGGGATCCGACCACGCGAGCTGGGAGCCCTGCGGTTTGGCCGCCAGAACCTGCTCGTTAGCTGCTCTGCTCCTGGAAGAGGCCCTGGCTGCTCCACCACGGAYGCTGCTTTGCAGGATGAGGTCGGCTAGACCGAGTTCAAGTATCGGGCGCCTTTCCCAAAGCCCGGGCGCTGCGGTGACTTTGTTCTATTTAAACCGTGCCTAATTGCCTGGTGTTCGGGAGATAAAATGTGTTTGGCGATCCGAGGCCCCTGAAGAGCTGTGCTCCTGCTCATGCTTTGGCAGTAATTGCTGGGCTTTGCTAGATGTTTGCCTTGAGTTCACGTTTTCACAGCCTGTTTTATGGCATGGGAGTAGTGGATCGAAAGGGCGTTATTTCCACTCGTGCCTTGCACGTAAAATCCGGTGAGGCGGCCACCACTGGAGCTTGCTCTTTGCGTCTCTTCCCCCTATCATATCTTGCTTTATTTCTAGTTCTAGGCTTGCAGTTTCACGTGCTGTTTTTCCCAGCATTTTGGGATGCTGTGGGCAACGTAACAGGAGACTTTTCAGCATCTTTTCCCCCGTGATATTTTCCTCCTCCTTGCATCCTTCTCTCCTTCCTGTCTAGCTTTCCAGTAGCTATGAGGATTCAGTGAAACGGACCCAGGTCCCTTCCTTGTTTCCTGCCTGGTTATTTGCGTGGGTCACTGCTTCCCCGCCTGCTTTCTGAAGGCAGTTTCCATCACTTGAAGGACATGAGTGTCATCAAGTCAACTGCAGTCCCATAGAGGGGGGCACGGGGTGATTTCACCTCCTTGTGCTGCCCCAGGTGCAAGGGAAGCCCTAAACCAGGCTGTGGGTGTTGGATGGGCGCCTTTCATGAGTGTGCATCCCTTTTAAGTCAGRTAACAGAATGTTGGAGGTTGGAAGGGACCTCTAGAGATCATCTAGTCCAACCTTCCTGCTCAAGCAGGCACACCTACAGCATGTGGCACAGGGTGGCATCCAGGCGGGTTTTGGAGACCTCCAGAGAAGGAGACTCCACAGCCTCCCTGGGCAGCCTGTCCAGGGCTCTGTCACCCTCACAGTGAAGAAGTTCCTCCTTACCTGCAGATGGAACTGCCTGGGTTTCAACTTATACCATTTAACCTTAGCAGTAGCCCGTGGCTGTTGTCGATTTGTGCCTTTTGCCTCCCTGTCCTTCTGCTAAGCGTCGCYGAGAGGAGTCAGCCTCTGCTCATTTCCTCCCTTCAAACGTTTATCCATATTGGTAGGATGYCCCAGATCTTCTTCTGCAGGTTGGCCAGGCCCAGGAGTTCCTCATCGGATTGGTGCTCCAGGCTCTTCCCTCAGTCGCCCTTTCCTGGACCTGCTCCAGCAGCTCCTTGTCTGTGCAGAGGGGCCCTGGGCAGAGCACCCACATGTGGCCTCACCAGGGGGAGGATCCAAAGAAGAGGAGCAAAATCTCATCCATCGCGGTGGTCTCCATTGGGGTAGTCCCATGCATGGCGATGGGGCTGGGGATCTGCCCCAGATCAAGTTCTCTGCCTTGTTGGCTACGTGCGTGTTTCCCAGGGTGCTCCCTTGGAGTTGTGYTATTCCGAAGCCTCGTTAATGGTTAACTTGGAATTCAAATACTTCTCGTGTGCGGTTGGGAAGGGGCCGCGTTGATGACCGTTTCCACCCTGCCCAAATGCGCAGACACGGTGGAAGCTGCCCGGGGAGGTCCTGGTGCTCTGGGTATTGCCACAAAGACCCTCGTGCGTCTTTCCCTTGGCAAAGCGGCCTGCAGGTGCCCGCTTGGAGCGCGCTGGCAGCCCATGGTGCCCATGGAGCCTTCGGAGCCCATCGTGCTCCTGCTCCAAGGGCTGGAAGCAGCAGGAGCATGAGGACGCAGCTGCTCACAGGGGTTGGCATGTCTCTAGTCATCCTCCTCCTCAAAGCAGGGCCACGTTGAGCTCACAGCAGGTTTTATCATGARAACCTGCAAGGATGGAGGCTCTACAGCCTCTTATGTCCTTTACCCTTGCTTTAAAAGACCTTTCCTTGCTCCAGTGCTTCGCGGCAGCGGTGTTGGGAAGCACTAAATGAGCCGGAATCGGCTGCTGCTACAGATCAAGAAACCCAAGTGCTCTAAAGCGACTCGCTTTAAGCACCTGGATGTCACATCCTGTCGCCGTGGGCGCCCTTAATTATTTATARCTGCTATCGAAATGCATGGAAGGGAGGCTGGAGCACCAGCTAATCCCGCTTAAACCCCTTCTAAACTCTTGCTTGAAGTGCTATAAAATAAGCAGGGTTCCTTGCGGTCAGCCAGGCTTAACCTGAGTCACGCAGCGGGCTGGAAATAGCTGTGAAAGTTCCTGTGAACGGTAGGCTTGACCTTGCACGTATTTAATGTAGTTTAGGGCTGAGAATAGGAAGGATAACATGAAACCGAGGCTAAGCAGACACTGCAGCTCTGCAAGGTCTTCGTCCAAAGGCTTCCCATTGAGAACCAAGCCTATGCGGAGCAGCATCACGGCACGTTCCTTGGGGATAAAGGATGCCCTGGTCTAAGGGAATTACGTGTTCTGCATAGCTGTTGGAAAAGGGATAGATTGGAACTGCTCATTTCCTTTGCTGCCGCCTCTTCTGCCTTTGCAGATGCACGTTTTGGTATAAATGCATATTTAATTTGCTTTCTGACCTGGCTTTARCCCTTGGGATTTAAGGTTGATATGCGGGGCGTAGATTAAAAGTAGATGATTGGGAAGGAAATGTCACTTTGCTCCCTCCCAACAAATGCTGCTTAAAATATCCGAATTATATCTCGTGCCTGATGTGTTCATGTGGAGGGCATGAGCTTCCTGCTGCCCGCAGGAATAATGTATAGTACAGATTATTGGTCTTTTCGGCTTTATCTGGCAATTTTTGACACTAGCTGACCCAGCGAGGCCTCGCGTCGCCTTATGGTGGGCTTAAACAGCTGGAAAACTTCCAGCTGTTAATTTATACCAGCGTTTGGTCTAGAATGAGGGCAGCCCTAGGAGAGTTCAAACAACCAAAGAAATGCCAGAATTGAAGGGTTTTTTGGTGTTGTGTTTCTGTCTGGTTTCCTTGGGAAGAAGGCTCACTGGCGATGCTGGTTGTGTCAAATTGTCATGGTGGTTTTTAAAATGCTGAATCTTCTCCCAGCTGTTTCTGGTAAACTTCTGCAGCCATGGACATGAACTAGGCCTGTTAGGGCATAAATACTAATTAAAATAGTCTGTAAATGATGATGGGCTCCAGGGCAGCCATCCGTAGCCTCGACAGACTGTGTGTGTCTGGTTTTGGTACCTCGGATGTTTGCAAACAGCCAGGATTGGGGTTTGGGGAGTGTTGTCTGAGGYACCTTGGCCATTCCTGGAGAATTCCCAAGTGTTGCTGTTGTCCTGGACGAGCCCSCATCACAGTACAACCTTCCTTCCCATCTAGAACAAAATACAGGAGCGGGATTAAAGACAAGTCCCGTAGCCGGTCGTCTCGCTGCTGCTTTCAGCTGGAAGAGGTGCTGATGATTCRTGAAAGCCCGAGTTTGTCCTCGCTTGTGTCCTTGGAGCTGGGCGAGCGCCTCCGTGTAGCCCTGCGTGCTGTGGAAGGCTGAGGAGGAAATGCAGGCGAGTAACTTGTTCTCAATCTGCTTTTCCACTTGCCAGGTCCTGGAGAAATATCCTAATACACCGATGAGCCATAAAGAAATTCTTCAAGTTATCCAGAAAGAAGGACTCAAAGAAATCAGGTGAGTCGAGTATCCGTGGCAGGATAATAGCTTGGTTGTGACTTGGTTTATTATCAAACCCCATCTCACATGCCTCTTTGGGACAGAAAAGGTGAATACTCACAGGAGAGGGAGGGAGAAAAACCAAGCAAACAGAAAACCTCTCCAGGCAGTGGTGTTTTCCCTGAGCAGGGTAATAAACAAGGATATTCTTCATTTCCAGACACCTGCTGCTTCTCCCTGCTCTGCAGCTGGACCTGCTCAGGTAGTGGAGGCTCCAGTTATTGAGGTTAACTTAATCCCCTCCTATTTCATGTTTTACAAAAAGGGGGAGAGGGAGGATATAGCAGACAGCTTAATGGAAATAACCCGAAAGTGTCCTACTGAAATCTTAACAAACAAAACTCCCTTAAAAAGGCTTGTCTTTTATTTTTGTATGTATTTTTTCCTCRTGTTGGTGCTTTAGTATAATCTGGCATAGTGTGTATTTCTACTTCAAAGACCTCCACGATCCTCACGTTGCTCCAAGGGCTGTAGTGGGTGTTGGGGCGCCCTGCTCTGCCCGGTGCAGAGCCCAGGTGATCCTGAGCTGCTGTAGAGGAGCAGAGAGCTCAGGGCATGTTTTGGATGGCTGTTAGCAGAGCTTAGCCCYTGGGCCCTTGTCCACATGAGTTGCTTTGGGATGGACACATTCATTTACTCGTATCAGGTAACTGCTGCGCAGCAGAAGGTATTTCTATTTCTGCTTTCTAATAGCAAAGAAATTGCTGTTAGAAAAAAGGGGCAAGGGGAGTTGAATGCAGGGGAAAAAGGGGGCAAGGGGAGTTGAATACAAGTTCACCTATTGAGTAATGGAATACCTGACCATGTCTGGTTTAGGATGGCCACGTTCTCCCTGCTCTTTACCGGGTTTAATGCAATGTTTGTGGGKTTTTTTTGTTTGCTTTCTTGTAGTAACGTGGAGTGCTGTTCTCAAGGCTTGGGCAAGGGCTCTGATATGATGTGAAATGTGCAGCCTGGGTAGTCAGGCCGGAGTTTGGAAGGAAGGGCTAAACCCGGAGGAGAAATGACCTGGTCCCACAAGGTCTTTCTCAACCTGGAGCTTTTCTGTCCCTGAGCTGAGGATCTAGGCTGAGCAGAGGGAGTCATCTCCCTCTAAGGAGAGGAGCTAAGAAGAGCTCCTTCATGTTGTGAAGTACTCGAAATCCCCCAAAAGATCCTTGTGGCAGCAGTCAGCTTGCTAGACTTGGTCTCTCTAGTCCAACTGTCCCTCTAGCTGACATAGTGTTTGGGTGCTGTGCAGTGGTCTTTCCCTTTCAACATAAAATAGATGTAATACAGCTTTATTTAGGTTAGGACTTAAGGTTATGGGTTCTTGAGCAGTTTGGTTCCCGTTAGCCCCGGTAACGTGTTTGGTGGCTGAATTGGGCTTCTTGTAGCTCATAGCTAGTGACGGGTGGATTTAATGCAAAGAAACATTTATTAGCTGAAACTGATTTTGGGGAAAAGCTCAAAGTTGCAAGATGAGCGTGTGGAGCTACCAGATTTTGAGCCCACGTAAGCTGAGGTGATAGTAGGAAACCTTGGCAAGTAACAGCAATTCTCCGTACCTACCTGGCACAAGACGGTGAAATTGCAGGTGTGGTAGATAGAGGCCATGAAGGCCTCTAAAGCAGTTTAGTGAATCTGTCTGTTTTTATTGCAGGGCTTTCCATGCTCAGCATTGCCTCGTTTAAAAAATATATCTACTCCTTTCTGTATTTGTTTTCCAGATGGGAAGGAATTTTAGGAGCCACAACTCACTTTCCTCCAGGCTTCGGGGAATGGGGCAGAGCCAGAGGAACCCGCCTGGTGTCCAGTGGTCATCGCTGCTGTTTGGCTGCGTGGCCAGCTGGCTCCTTCCTCTTCTCCTGACTCGTGGCACGTGCTGGCCAGCTGGTTGGGAGGAGGACTTGAGGACTTGGTGTCCTCAGGACTCCCAGGTCCATGGAGCTGCTCTCCGGCAGGGTGACCCCTCATCTGTGCTGGTGCCTGGGGTTATTCCTGCCCAGGGGCAGGACCCTGCACTTGTCCTCGTGGCGTGCCCCAGCGTAAACGCTCACCCCAGCATGACTTCTTGCTCCCCACACAGACAGGGAGCTATGGGGCAATGACTTCCCAAAGACCCCCTTTTGATGTGGAGTTCTGTCATCTCCTTGGAAAGGAGCTGCTGCTGGGTGTGAGGATGGAGAATGTCTTAATGTAGACCTGGCTTTTAGAGCTGCGGAGCGGAAGCTCTTTGGAAAAAGCTGCTGCCTCTGGCAAAATTGTTAGGGTTCCCTCTTCCAAAAGCTGTTCTTGAGAGCCCCAGTGGGTCTATTAGAGTGTGAAAGGCTCTCGTAGGCCAAATTTCTTGTCCAGGTGGAGAGAGCTAAATTGATAGAAGCTTTTCCCAGTCTTCAGAGATGTTTCTTTAGGAGATGGCAGTGGGCGAGGTGTGTATCCAGTGTCTGGCATACGGCACGGTGGCCTCTCCTAGCCGCTTCCCGGGATTACAAGTGGAGCTGAGGCCTTCCCTGCTGGAGCTGCTGCCTCTGCCTGCCTGGAAGGGGCCTGGCACTGAACCCTGTGCGAGCATTCGCTGCCCAAAGATCCAGGGCTTTACGCTGTCATGAGTTCCCYGATGCAATTTAACTTGCCAATATTCTGCTCACACGATTCCTCTTTAGACTCTAAAGCTCTTCAATGTTTTCACAAGTCAAAGGATGTTAAGCATAGGCTGAATCCTTGATGCTCCCTGGTGGCTTGAGAGGCTTAGCTTTGAAATCAAGCTCCTTTTCACCAGCTCCTTCTGGTTCTTGTCATGACCTTAGAGCAGAAGAACATTGTAGATTATTCAAGATGTGCTTTGCATTGAGGCTCCTCTGCTGTAGCTGTATCCTCATGAAGGCAGGACCACAAGGTTGCTTAGTTTGCAGATTATGAAGCTGGCATCTCCTGCAGCTTGGGTAGCACCACTTTGAGCTGCCGTGATAGGTCCCACAGCCCTTCACCTGCACTGTGCTGAAGAGCCAGAGAGCCGTGTTGGCCAGATGCGTTGTGCTCAATGGTGAGGGCCTCACCCAGCAGCTTTATTTGTTTATTTGAGGAAACTAATAATTAGGCAAGGCTTTCCACAGCTCTTTAAAATCAGATTTCCAGTAGGAATCGTGTCTGCCTGGTGGTAGGTGACGTTGAGGGCAGGTAACCCAACGTGTGCCAGGAAGCTGTGTGGGCTGCGCCGAAGCGTTTGGAGCTCTCCATGGCTTTGCCCCTCTGCAGTTACCCATCCTAGAAGGGCTCCTGGAGCTTGCTGCAGTCAAAGCCACCCCTTGAAGTTGAGCTACCACTCCTAGGTCAGCAGCTCTCAGCTGGGGGTGATGGGCTCCGGGCGCACGGTGGCAAATGCTGCTTTGGGTAAGGACAGGTTCTTCCCACGAGCCTTGGGCAGGAGCTTAATCTCTTGGGCTAGGTGAGCTGCAGGGGTGGCTTCCAGCCCCAGGTTGTCTGTAATGCACTGTTTCCAGCCCCGTGTTCTTTAGGTGAAGAGGCTGCTCACCCGAATGCACGGAGASCTGTTCTTTCGGCTCCAGTGCCTCGTGCCACCCTGTTGTGACTCACTGCAGAGCCTCAGCGCCTTGATCCTGGGCTTGCTTGTGGAAAGTGATACTGCTAAAAGCACTGCTCTCCGTGTGGAGACAACCTTTGCAGTAGGTCATGCTCTACCACAACAGGAGAGCTTTGTTTTTCCCCCGTTCAGGGGGAATTTGCACCTTACACATAATAGCTGCGTGCTACGAACCACCTTGGAAGGAACCGTGGACTGGCAAACGCTTCATGTACTTGACACATTTCAACAAGCTGGGGATTAAAGAGAACTTCCAGGGCAGCAGTCTGCTTGGCAAATGCAACCAAAGCGCTTAACCTGGAATGTTTTGGGGTTCCAGTTTGATCAGGCCCTTGCAGAGTTGGGGCTGCTAGCTTGAATTCAACCCAGAGCTGAAGCAGGTTTCTCTACGAGTGAGTGTCTGAGCCAAAGCCTGGCAAGGGTTAAGGGGGATGTGACTAATACAGGGGGAAAACACTCATTTGGAAAATAATCATTCAAAGATAGCGAATACAGAGAGATGAAGTCGCTCCCATTAGCAGGGAATGTTGAATGCTTTTATTGCATGTAGGAGAAACCTTGTCTAGGGTGTCGCTTGTTGCTGTCTGTAATTCCTGGGAAGGTAGGAAGTCCCTAACGAACGAAATGGTCCATTTCCCTCGCCTGAGCCTGTGGGAACAGCAGGTTTTGCTGTGTCGTCAGGATAAAGGGAATGTCCCTTTTGATCCCGTGAAAGGGAGGGCATTAGCCCTTGCAAAGGGAGCAGTAGGMGGATGCTGCAGTGATGGATACTCTGGGGCTCTAACAGGTCCGTGTTGTTCTATGGAAGCACCAGAGCTAAGGTCTCCAAAGACAGCTAGGTCTGAGCTTCAAGCTGATCTTCCGTCCCCAAGCTGGGTGGTTCTGTGGTGGAAACGCCAAGGGCAAAAACCTCCAAACAAACCAAATGACAAACCCGGGCCCCTTAGAAAGCCCTGCAGGCCGTGGGGACCTTCCCCAATGTTCACGTCCTCTGTTACCCTCCATGGTAAGGAGCCCCTCTGACCACATGGGCTCATCAGGGTGTCGGGATGCTTTTTCACAAGTATTTGTGAGGGCAGAGCCSTGGCCCAGGCTGCCCAGGGCGGTTGTGGAGGCTCCTGCTCTGGAGGTCTTCAAAACCCACCTGGATGCACCCGGGTGCCCCGTGCTCTGGGTGTCCCTGCTGGAGCAGAGGGTTGGGCTAGATGATCTCTAGAGGTCCCTTCCAACCTCCACCATTCTGGGATTCTGTGGAACAGTAAGGAAAGGGAATTTCTGTGCTGCTGTGGCCCTTCCAGAGGCTTCCCCCACTTGTGAGAGGAGTTCCCTCAACAGGAGAAGGATAAAAAACAGCCATGAGGGTTGCCTGGGGTTGGTAGCTGCTTCTGGACCTCCCCAAACACCTCCTGGGTTGCCTTGTTCATGCTTCTACTAAAGCTTAGTTTCAGTGTGACTGCCCAGACTGGTTCAAATTGACTCCTGGTGGCTGGGGAGGAGGGTTCGTGTTGATGAGTAGCCAACTGTTGTGCTCAAGTTCTTAAAGGGGTGTTTCTCTCCTTTTTTTGGGTTGCCCTCCAACTCCAGAAGGTAAGAACCACTGCTGATTGTTCTAAAGCCGCTCTTCTGCGTTAACTCCAGCTGCCAAAGCCTCGCTTTGCAAAGCAAGCGCTTGCGTCCCGCAGCCCCAGAAGCCCCGTAGCGGAGGCGGCGCTCGTGCTCCCCGCAGTGCATGCTCCGTGCATCGGCCCGGGCGCGATGCAAGCCTGCAACCCCGCTCTGCTTGCCCGGCGTGGCGCGGGCGCCGCGAGGCTCCCAGCATGTGGACGCGGCGGGTTAACGTTCCTGCAAGCCCCGCTCCGGGGAGCTGGGGGCTGCTTGGGTTGCATGCCCGCTTTCTGTGCGACTCTCGCCTTGGGTTGGCACTGCGCCCAAGCGCGTCTAACCAAACTGCAAAATAAACGGCTTTTCCTGAACGCGAATGTGTCCTAACGAGCTTGACGATCTGCTTGCAGCCTCTCTGCTCTGGCCCTGCAGGAGATTTCATTAATTTTCTTTCCTTAATCAAATGTTCGTGCACTAACGAC